CATCCATCCATCATCATCATCCATCCATCGTCCATCCATCATACATCCATCATACATCCATCATTCATCCATCATCCATCCAACATCCATCCATCCATCCATCTATCATCCATCCATCCATCCATCCATCATACATCTATCATCATCCATCATCCATCCATCATTCATCCATCATCCATCCATCATCCATCCATCCGTCATCCATCTATCATCCATCCATCATCCATTCATCATCCATCCATCATTCATCCATCATCCATCCATCAGAAGAGTCAAAGTAGATTTTTATTTATGAGACATGAGACTTTATTTACTTTTGTTTTAAAGCATCTTGTTTTAAAATAAACAATTTGACTAAACTGAGCATCTGGTTCGTTTTCAGCTGCTCACTCAGTGACGTCATCCTTCGGACCATGATGATGATATCTAAATATCATGTTTGGGTCTGAAGCTGAAGAGCGCAGACATCATCTAATCTCAGAGACATGACTCAGGCTCATTACTAACCCAGATGCATGCTGGGTAATGTGTCTGAATCTGTGTTTAGCAGCAGACTGTCTTAATCCTTTTATTCCTCTCTCGACCGCGACGAGTTGTTGTGTCTCAGACTGGTGATGAAACTCATCCAGATGAGCCCTGCTGTGGAGGAGCAGGCCAGCTGCTGGTGCTTCTCCTCAGGTTGATCCAAAACTCACTCTGGAGGCGCCACCTGAAGGCCGATCCCTGCACAGCACCAACCATCTCATGATCCTCCTCAAGGTCTCACACAGGCAGTCACAAGGGTCGGGTACATTTATTTATGCCTGAGCTGACCTCAGGAGAACCATAAAACGACCACAGTTCGCTCTGTGACTATCAGTCTGTGGACAAAGTTCATGATTCTTTGAGAACTGATAAGAACTAAAAGCTTGTGTGTTTATTCAGCGGAGACTGAAGAACTGGAGCGGATCAAAGTTCAGGGCCAGGAATGTGTTGGTTCTTAACCAACGTTGGGTTTATAAGCACATTTACACAAGAGACGTTTTTTATGAATGTAAAGCAGGAGAGTTTTTGTCTGACGGCTGCAGAGGAAGTCAGAGGAACGAAGAATCAAAAAGTCCCTCGCAGATTTCTGATGTCACCTGAGCACCTCAGATTTCCCAGCATTCATCACTTCTCAGCGAGAAACAAACTGATTGTTGGAACCAGCAGCTTGTTGCTTATTGGGATTATTTTGGGAGTGGTGGTGCAGAGGTTAGAGAAAGTGGGCCTGCGATTGGAAGATCGCCAGTTCAACTCCCTGACCAACAACATTAAAGTGTGGGTGTTAAAGGTGAAGCACCCACACCTGTCTCCACCCTCATCTGCTCCACTCTGGGCCCTTGAGCAAGGCCCTTAATCCAGAGCTCTCTGACGTAAATCGCTGTGGTGACCCCTGAAGAAGCAGGAGCAGCCGAACCTGCAGCTGAGGTTCTTCCAAGAACAAGCAGAACCTGCA